AACCATCTATAACGCAGCTGTCTCCTTTGAGAACACACGCAGGATCACCCTCGAGGAAAAAAGGCAGCGCAGAAAGAACCGTGTATTGCAGAATACACCATCTAAGGAGTCTTTCTGCTGTGCCTTTTGCAATCGGATTTGTCTGTCACGTATTGGCCTCATGAGCCACCAGCGTGCCTGTAGCAAATGTGGATAGAGCCTTCCCAAATCTCCGTTCGCGAAGCCCAGCCATGATGATGATGACTATGACAGCGGGGTTCTTGTCTTGTAGCACCGATTTTAATGACCAGTGTTGGCATCTCAGTGTCTGGTGTGGCTGCTGCGAGTGAGAGAAGATTTTTTTCTTGTCTTGTAGCACCGATTTTAATGGGCACGTGTTGGCGTCTGAATGTCCGGTGTAGGTACTGCGAGAGCAGTGTTCTTGTCCTGTAGCAGCGATTTTAATCAGCAGCTGTTGGCATCTCAGTGTCTGGTGTGGGTGCTGCGAGTGAGAAATTTTTTCTTGTTTTGCAGCACCGATTTTAATCGACACGTGTTGGTATTTTATTGTCTGGGTTAGGTGCTGTGAGTGAGAGATTTTTCCTTGTCCTGTAGCATCGATTTTAATGGGCAGTTGTTGGCATCTGAGTGTCTGGTGGGGGTGGTGTGAGTGAGAGGTTTTGTTATTGTTTTATAGCACCACTTTTAATCGGCACATGTTGGCGTCTCTGCAGTAGATGCTGTGAGAGCAAGTTTTTTGTGTTTTAGCAGCGATTTTAATCAGCAGGTGTTGGCATCTCAGTGTCCAGTGTGAGTGCTGTGAGTGAGAGAAGTTTTCTTGTCTTGTAGCAGCGATTTTAATCGACATGTGTTGGCGTCTGAGTGTCGGGGTAGGTGGTGCGAGTGAGAAAGGTTTCCTTGTCCTGTAGCAGCGATTTTAATGGGCACGTGTTGGCACCTCAGTGTCTGGCATAAGTGGTGCGACTGAGAGAAGATTTTTTTCTTCTCCTGTAGCAGCGATTTTAATCAGCAGGTGTTGGCATCTCAGTGTCTGGTGTGGCTGCTGCGAGTGAGAGATGATTTTTTTCTTGTCTTGTAGCACCGATTTTAATGGACACGTGTTGGTATTTTATTGTCTCGGTTAGATGCTGCGAGTGAGAAAAGTTTTCTTTTTGTTTTGCAGCACCGATTTTAATGGGCACGCGTTGGCATCTGAGTGTGGTGGGGGTGGTGTGAGTGAGAAGTTTCCTTGTTTTGTCTTGCAGCACCGATTTTAATCAGGAGGTGTTGGCACCTCAGTGTAGGTGCTGTGAGAGAAGTCTTGTTATTGTCTTATAGCAGCGATTTTAATTAGCAAGTGTTGGCATTTCGGTGTCTGGTGTAGGTAGTGTGAATGGGAAAAGTTTTCTTATTGTTTTGAGACACGAGTTTTAATTAACAGCTATTAACATCTTAATGTTTGCTGCAAGCAGTGTGGTAAGAAAAGGCTTTTTATTGTTCTGTAGCACTAATTTGAATTCGCACTTGTTATCATCTCAGTGTCTGGTGCAGGCAATGGGATTAGGAGTTTTTATTTTCTGTGGCACTAATTTTCATCAGCTTCCCAGTATTTATTTCCCGCACTTCCTAATTTAAAAAGCAGTTGTATTTAAGGGTTGATAAAAGGAAAGGAGGTAGGAAAGCACCTGTAAATTACTGTGGGAAATAGCCAGAGTAAGAAAGTTGTGAAAAAGAGTCCTCCGGGCTGTATTTTAAGCCGCTGGAGAGATCTGGGTGGTGTGAGTGGAAGTGGTGTCAATAAGGCTAACACGATTAAATCTTGCAGATAATGGTGGCCTTTGTATAAATGAGACGAGGGAGAAAGTTTGCTGCCGAATAGAACTTTAAATACACTTTTCAATTAATGTTATTTTTAAGGCATAGTGGAAAAGGGAATGAGGAAATATGTGGAGATAGGTTTTTCTGCTTGAGAATTGTCATGGTTTGAGATAGTCCCAAAATCCAATTCCCTAGCTCCATCCCCCCTCCCACATCTCAACCTAATGTGAGAGAGGTTTTTCCAGACAAAACACACCAGACTCCAAAGTGGGGGAAAGGGAAATATATTACAATGACTGTACAAATAAATACCATATCACATTATACACATGATCATAACTATCTCTACCATGACATATAGTATTTACAATGGATCAGATCTCTTCTCCAAATAAAAGTCCAGGAGGGAAAGAAGGACAGATCCCTTCCAGTCTCTGAACAGCAGCATCTTCTGAGGCAGCAGGTTTCTTCTCATCTCATGCAGCAGCTGATAGCTGGCTTTCTGCCAGCGTCCACGAGGGAGGTATTCAAGCTCCCCCGGCCCCATCGCCTCACAACCGAGGGGTCTTCCGTGGTCTTCGTAACCCCAGACAAGGTCGTATCACCACGTCATATCACGAAGACACAGGGGGGTCTTCGTGACGGTCTGGTATCTCTTGCAGGGCCTCTGTGCCCTGTCTCTCAGGCTGCCACCGTGGCAGCAGTGCGAGGGGGGGAAGCCAAGGTCAACTCCCCCTGCATTCCTCTCGGAGCTCTCTAGCTCCTTTCTACAGTGCATGTCGCACTTCAAGGCTCTTTCAAGTAAGAGTCCATCATCTTCCTCCTTCCAGGAGGTCTCAAAGGAGTTGTGGGGATCTGGTATCAGTCTTACCCCCAAGAACTCTGTAGCTCTCAGCTGCTGGCTCTCCTTTCCTCGACTCTCCTTCCAGGAGTCTCCTCTGCAGTGCTGCATGTTGCTTCTGCTGCTTCTT